TCATCAAAGTTTTTGGCACCTGACTTGTCAAGCTCTCTCCATACTATCTCTGGCTCTCATCCTGGGCACTTCAGTATCCAAAAATTGATTCATCTGGAGACTCATTTCATACAATGTCTTGACCTGCCTCATCTTAATTTTATCTTCTTTTCATTTCAGCAACCCGGTGCTTTAAACATATATTTCTTAAGCCCCTTTAACTACCCAGAGATTACATTTTAAACCCCACAGACTTCTATTCTTCAAATCCTTATTACCATACCATTATCCTTAAGTCTCAGGCAAGAGGGTCCTCATTATCGGACCCTGTTTTACTTCTCCTCTGTGTACACCTTCCTGATAGGGTTAGGAGTTCAGGGCAGCTAAGTGTCAGTGCCCACTTGGAGCCCCTCTACTTCTTCCCAGACTGTGTGCTGAGTCAGAAGATGCTGGAATTCCCTGCTCAGGTGTCCTTGATTCTGCTTTGAGCATCTAAACAGGTCCCTTCTCTAGGTCATTCCTCTTGATTGTGGCTCACATCAAGATACTGCTCTTTATAGGCCCAAGGTCTGACCAAAAGGCAGTTTGTAGAGAAGTGAATGGAGCTTGGACATGTGAGATTTCATAGTCATATGCATGTAGGCCATACCATCTTGGTACGAGATAAAGCTGGGCAAGGAGAGAAGATGGCAGACTAGGGACTGTGATCTGGTCTTTCCTGTGCTGCCTCTTTTGGTGTGGTGCTCTGATCCTTCCAGGTTGTAGGTTAGTCACAAGATGAGTGGACGTATTTTACTTAACCATTTTCTAGCTCTATTTATAATTTTATATATTTAGGTATATGGTATGTAGGACTTCACTTGTACTTTCACCCCTATACCTCACAAATGTTAAGATGGGGCCTGCCTCCATGCACACATTTCAACTCTACTTCTACCTCTAGTTCTTTTTCCGTAACATCTGTCAGGGTTTTTTTTGTTTATTTGTTTGTTTGTTTTGTTTTATATATAAGAATTCCCATCACTTTTTGTATGCACTCAATTCTTCCTTTTTCTATTTGAACTCCTCATTATACAAAACTTGAACTACAGATCACTTTTACTCATCTGCTTTCTTGGCTTTTGTATCCTGCCTTCTGATATATGCGGGATAAAATAATTGACCTGATACATTACTGTACTTCAAATTAATATGAACATAGATGATGGTCTAGGTCCATTTTTGTACTAGCTTAAAGTTAGAAGTTCTTATCATCTATATAAAAAAGATATTAATTTTTATAAAAACAATATATCAAATGGTTCAGAAATCTTTAGATATTTTTAGCGTATTTATTTTTATTGGCTAGATGTGGTAGATTTATTGAAAAATCATCCATTTTTTAAACTCTCTTTATAATGCATGCCCTCTAAAACATAATATTATAGTTCCTCCCATTGGGAGGTACCATCTATTTCCTCATCTCTTGGATTTTGGCGGTCCTTGTGATTTACTTTGGCCAATGGAATGTGGCAGAAGTGACACATGTCTGTTCTGAATCTAGGACTCAAGAGGCTGTGTACCTTTTTTCTGTCTCTTTGGATCTTGCCACCACCATGAAAATAAGCCCTTAGCTAACCTACTAAAGGATGAGAAACTATCTGGAGAAGAACTGAGTCATTTCAGCCAAGGTTAGCCTAGGTTGTCATGCTCTAACCCTCTAACCAACTTGTCTACTGCCTGCTGATGCCCAGACAAGGCCAACCAATATCAAATGAGCCTAGCCAAGGTCAGGAGAATCACCCAGACTACTTGTAGACTTGTTAGCAACAATAAATGTTTATTTACTTATTTTTTTGCCACTTGTTATTTTGTGTTTGCTTTTTTATGCTTTACGATTACGACAATTGGTAATGGATAGCCTATTATGATGATCACTTTTGGGTCATCTTGGGAAGATTATATGTCCAGTTAATCATTCAAATACTAATCTAGGTGTGACTGTGAAGGTATTTTGTAGATACATTTAGCATTTATAATCAATTAGCATTAAGTAAAGGAGAATATCATAGATAATCTGGGTGGTCCTGATTCAATCAATTGAAAGTTCTTAAGAATAGAACTGAGATTTTCCAGTAGCAGAAGAAATTCTACTTGTGACAGCAGCTTCAGCTTATGTCCAGAAGTCCTAGCCTGCTCTTCCTGATGGCCTGACCTATGGGTTTGTACTTGCTTAGCCACCACCAAAATCAAGTGAGCTAATTCTCAGCAATAAATCCCTTACTATATGTCTCCTACCACTTCTGTTTCTCTGATGGAACCCTGACTGATATATCTATACAACAAAAAAGTGATCCCTTACACAATTAAAAGAAAGGAAAAGAAAGCGGTAACAAGAGCAACCACTGTTTTAAAATCTTCACATTTAAGTCAGAATAACTTAGTGAGACATTATCACTATTAAGATTATTAAAATTCTTCTGCCTGGAATGTGTGACCTTTTTGGAATCTGATATAAACAAAAACTGGAGACAACAAAAGCTATCTGACTCTGGATTTAAATGTTGGCCACAAGGTATTGCCCCATCTTATGGAGTCAAGCAAAGTGCTAGTCCAAGTTTCACTCAATAAATGAGGCTTTCATAAAAATGTCTAAACATCCAATTTACAGTAATGTCTCAAGTTTTCCATTCCCATCTTCTTAATACAGTAATACCCTGGCTCACCACTTAACAGGAGCTGTAGTAAGGGTAGACAGACTTCATCAACATAGAAGGTACACATCAATTCATAACCTTTGCTCTCTTTCTGGGACAACTCTGGAAATGTCATGCCCCATGGCCTTATCCTGACACTTAAACAGCCTAAGGGCACGTATTTTGTAAAAAGCCTTGATTTCCTAGATTTCTACAAAACATTTGATGAAATGATTTTTAAATAAACTCTTTCATCTGTATGCTCATTTCTTAGAGACTATAACTCTCTTAAGAAAACAAGTATCCTGTCCTTAAAGTAGGTTCAACTCAATCTGGTGGAAATAAATGTGATAAAGGAAAGACACTGTGTAAATGGTAATTTTAAACCATATGGCTTTTATTTTTATTTATTTATTTAAAGATTTTATTTATTTATTTGACAGGGAGAAACACAGTGAAAGAGGGAATACAAGCAGGGGGAGTGGGAGAGGGAGAAGCAGGCTTCCTGCTGAGCAGGGACCCCGAAATGTGGCTTGAACCCAGGACCCTGGGATCATGAACTGAGCCGAAGGCAGACGCTTAATGGCTGAGCCACCCAGGCGTCCAACCATAAGGCTTTTAAAAAAGAAGTAGGAAAAGTCTGTATGAAAGATATCATGGGAGAGTTTTCATTTTTATCATAAATTTTAGGCTTTATGTAATTAAGAATTATGTAACTCAACAGTCAAATCCATCTCTCTGATCCTACAGCCTTTGTTCTTAGCCTATAATATTTTGGTGAGCACCTTTGAGTTGGCTGTAGTTTATGTGAAAGTTGTAGACATGACTCATGAATTCTAATTGTATAAGTTTAAGAAGAGTTTCATAGACTTACCTTCTTATTCATTTTGCCTGTCAACCACAGGGGACCTGATAACAACTTGGGACACACAGGAAATACATATTTGAAAGTCTGGGACTAGTTCGGGATAAGCATGTGTCTTAGCATGTGGAAAGTGTTAATAATATATTTTTTACTTCATATTATAAAGTACTAACAACAGAGAAGCACTAAAAGAAGGAAGAGTAAAATAATATTTTCAAAAAATTGAAAAGGAAAATACAGTAATTATTTGGATTTTGTAAAAGAGAAATGACACATTTGGGATTAGTGCAAAAATGAGATGAACAGAGTATAATATTTAATAATTTTATTTTTTATTTTTTTAACTTTTTATTTAAATTCAAAAAAGAGAGAATCACAGGTTCAAAGGCTAAAAAGGAAAAGAAAATGGAATGAAAAATAGAGTTGGGTAAAGGGAAAATTTCAGTGCCCAGACTACTATGGAAACTAGAAAGGTGTTTAAGGTTCTGAAAAATTTCTGTTGAATTAGAGGAAGAAAACATAAATTATGAAGCAAAAAAGTGAAGTGGTGAATTATGAAAACTATTTTAATAAATTCCATATCCAGACGCCTGACTTCTAGAGTTTTGCTTGGTAACATAGCAAGGTCAGCATTTTCTTTGACAGGTGACTTTGACCAAGTGCTATGGGCTGAATGTTCGTGTCTCTCCAAAATGCATGTGTTGAAATTGAGGTGATTTTAGGAGGTGGGATCTTTGGGGCATAATTAGGTCATGAGGGTGGAGTCTTCATGAATGGGATTGATGCTTTTGAGAAAGAGACCACAGAGAGATCCCTTGCCCTTTTTGCTGTAAGAGGACACAGCAAGAAGTTGTCTGTGTATGAACCAAGAAGCTGGCTCTCACCAGAACTAGAATGTGCCAGCATCTTGATTTGGGATGTTCTAGCCTCCAGAACTATGAGAAATAAATTTGTTTATATGCCGCCTAGTTTGTGGTATTTTGTTATAGCAGCCTGAGCAGAGTAAGGTACCAAGAAATGGGGATAAGGGAAGGAAAAGGATATTTCTTTGAGAGTGAATGTGCAATAGAAGGACAGGTGGAAAGATGACCTAAACACTACTATTTGGACATTTGTGTACAGTAAGAAAGTTTTACAAAGTAGTGTGAAAAATCATTTTAAGGAGGCTTGAAGTATCTATAATATTACCAGTTGTCTGGCACTTTTTATGAATTCAACTAAAATACTGGAGTTTTGTTGTGTAAATTATAAAAAGATGACTATCAATTTAGAAAAATGTTTAAATAGCACTTGGAAATACAAAGGAAATAAGAAAATGTGTAAATTGTGGAAGAAAAGCAAATAAGCTTTGGAATGTTATCCATATAGAAAATATTGCACATGAAGTTGTAGGTCGTCAATAAATATTTCTGAATGCCTGTAGAAGATATGAGAAAAGAAAAGCCTTAAGAAAGTCATAAAGAAACCCCGGGGGGACTGCTCCGGACTGAGGCTGCCCGAGTGAGGCTCCCCAGGTTGCTCTGTCCACCGATTCATGATTTTCTGCCGTTTCTTGGCAAAAATGGCAACTAATGGTGCTGTTCTGAAGAGACTGGAACAGAAGGGTGCAGAAGCAGATCAAATTATTGACTATTTAAAGCAGCAAGTTGCTCTTCTTAAGGAGAAAGCAATTTTGCAGGCAACTTTGAGAGAAGAGAAGAAACTTCGAGTTGAAAATGCTAAATTAAAGAAAGAAATTGAAGAATTGAAACAAGAGCTAATTCAGGCAGAAATTCAAAATGGAGTGAAACAAATACCATTTCCATCTGGTACTCTGCTGCAAGCTAATTCCACAGTTTCTGAAAATGTGATACAGTCTAGACCAATAACAACTATAACTTCTGGTGCCAAAGAACAGATAGGAGGAGGAGCAGAAGAAAAGAAGATGAAAGAGAAAACTGAAGTGAAAGGCGAGAAAAAGGAGAAAAAACAGCAGTCAGTAGCAGGAAGCGCTGACTCTAAGCCATTAGATGTTTCTTGTCTGGATCTTCGAGTTGGTTGTATCATCACTGCCAGAAAACACCCTGATGCAGATTCTTTATATGTGGAAGAAGTAGATGTTGGAGAAACAGCCCCAAGAACAGTCGTCAGTGGCCTGGTGAATCATGTTCCTCTTGAACAGATGCAAAATCGGATGGTGATTTTACTTTGTAACCTGAAACCTGCAAAGATGAGGGGAGTAATATCTCAAGCAATGGTAATGTGTGCTAGTTCACCTGAGAAGGTTGAAATCTTGGCACCTCCTAATGGGTCTGTTCCTGGAGACAGAATTGTTTTTGATGCTTTTCCTGGAGAACCTGACAAGGAGGTGAATCCTAAGAAGAAGATTTGGGAGCAGATCAAGCCTGATCTCTTTACTAATGATGAGTGTGTAGCTACATACAAAGGAGCTCCCTTTCAGGTGAAAGGGAAGGGAGTGTGTAGGGCTCAAACTATGACCAACAGTGGAATAAAATAAAATACTTCATTTGCTGAACTACATTGGAGAAAACTTTAATAACAATAAAAAGAAATATATTTGTCACTTGTACCTAAAAAAAAAAAAAAAAAGAAACCCTGGGGGAGGCAAGGAGAGAGGTTGGGAAGGAGAACGTGAGGCTTGTGAAGATGTGGAGCAAAACAGAAGTGGGACTCAAAGGAGTGAAATGAAATGAGGAAAAGGAGACAAAGTCATTGCTGAGTTCAGACAAATCAGAAAAAGCTCAGACATAGTTTCATTATTTTCTAACTAATCCGTTAAAGAAAATAACAATCATGGAACGTGCTTACCGTCAGAAGGGTGTTTTGAGAAACCCATGAGCTCGCACTTTTTTTTAGTAGTTGGCAGCAGGATGAAGGGAAAAGCGTGAAGTGTGAATGAGGAAGCAATGAATTCTTACAACTTTAGGTTTTCCTTTTTTCTTTTTTTAGATGCATTTTGAGTTTCTCTGAGTTCTCCCCATGATCTCTCGGCCGTTTGAACACTGGAGGTGACAAGACCGCTGTGGCAAAAGTGTAACAGTTCAAAGAGGCAGGAAGCCAACCCGGGGGTCACGCTGTGGAAACAACTTTGATTTTTAATTACTAGGGACATTTTTCAGCTTTGGTTTTTCTTGCAGTCCATATGAAAACCTTCAAACATTTTCTAAATCTGGATTAGAGATAACCTATGTCTCTAGTGATCTGCTACATAAGTTGGCTCGAGAGGGTCGATTCATACAGCCAGCAGTATATACTATGAACAATATGTGTTCAGTATCCAATGGGCGCTGGAATGCTGGTCTATGAGCTCGAGTATATGGCTGGCCAAATCAGAGATTCCATCCCTGATTTAACGGGATTTTGAGTCCAATAGGAGTGGCAGGTGCTAGTCACAGAACACAGAACATGCAGTTATAAGTGATGTAAGTGCTATGAATATAAAGGATTTGGGACAACGACACTCTGTAACAAGGAAGTCCAATTGAATATGGGGGTGACAGGAGGCTTTCTTGAGGAAATGACCTTTGAGCTGAGTTCTGAAAGACAAGTAGGAGCCATTTAGGTAAAGGAGGATATCAGAGAATGTTCTATGATGGATGGGCAAGGGTAGAAACAAGATGCGAAGGAAAAAAAAATCTTAATGCACTAGAGAATCTTAATGCTTTAGGCTCTGTAATTATTATTAAAAATGCTATATTAATTCAACCTTTTATTCCTTATAGAGTGTGGTAGAGTGATGTAGTGAAAATGAGCAGACCTCAGGAGGCCTGGGTGAATAATTTTGGGTTCTATGGCTTCCCGATCAACCTCTGGGTTTCCTACCTAGATAGAGAGGGAATTAGATTAAATGACCCTTTGAAGTACATTTCCAGTTATAATATTTGGTTCATGCAAAGGAATTCTGGATTAACAGTAACTGGCATGGGTTTGTGTATTAAGAAAAATCTAAAGTTTGTCACAAGTATTACATTATTAGCCCATAATAAAGAATCTGGTCTTGATGAAGCTGCTACTCCAGGTCTCTGTAGCTCCCCCAGCATGTCCATGGGAGACAGTACTTTAAATGTCACATAACCAAGAGTATCATTGCAGAAAAACACTGGTCAATACACTTATTCACTTAATAAATATTAAGTGACCACATTTGCAAAGCAATAGAATTGAATCAGAAAGGATTTCTGCTTTGGACTGTTGAATGCATATTGAGAAAATTCTCCTGCACACAAAAAGGAATTTTTTTTTTTTTTAAGATTTTATTTATTTGACAGAGCACAAGCAGAGGGAGAGAGAGGGAGAAGCAGGTTCCCTACTGAGCAAGGAGCCCGATATGGGACTCGATCCCAGGACCCTGGGATCATGACCTGGGCCGAAGGCAGCCGCTTAACCGACTGAGCCACCCAGGCGTCCCACAAAAAGGAATTTTTATCCTAAACTATTTGCTCAGAGTGGCTTCAGTCAAGCACTGGATACATTCATTAGGTAGCATTTAGAGGAAAATGATTGCTTGAATACTAGCCTGATTTCACGATTTGGGGATCCTGATCTTAACATGAAAGACAAAAGATCAGATACCTCCCAGGTACTATTACTGCGGGGACTTTATTTGAATAAAAAAATCATCAAATGATAAGCTTATTCTTAAAGATACTTTTTATTTTACGTACATAAATAATTAACAAGATGATAGTAAATATTACCAGTTTTATTTATTTCTGACATTGCTCCTCATGCACTTACTGATGGTGATAAAGCATTTAATTGTAACAGAGGTAATGCTTCAGTAAAATCATAGTTTTTAAAGTTCTTTTTAGTGCCACTCTTTTTTTACTCCTGTTGATGAAAAAATCTTTTTATCTTTTTATTTTTTCTGGGCTTCAAATGAGTTAGGGGAACGGTTCCAGAAAAGCAAAACAAACATCATTTTCCATGAATATCTGGCTCGTAAAATTGAGTTTTGGACAGCTTATAGAAAAAGCCTTTTATGTCTGGGATTTGTCACCTTTGAAGATGCTAATCCTGATGTGCTGCACGTCATAAAGAGACAACAAAGGAAGGGGAGATTCTGTGTCCCTCAGTGGCCAATTTTAGTGCCAGTTCCCTTCTCCAGGACAGGTACTCGGATTGCACATTTGGTGGGTCTTAGAGTTGCTTTTTTCCTTTTTGCATTCAGAGAAGGTGACCTTATGAGTGGGAATAGACGAAGGAATATTTTAGAGATGTGCAGATTTCTTCTGGAAAATTCAGTTCTATCCAGATAGCATGACAACCATTTGTTTTTTAATCAAAGCACAAGATTAAGGGAGATTATCTTGTATTTTCTTTTTTCTTTTTAAAAGCTACACTGAAGAATAATTGACATGTACCTGGAGAATCCTGTCATTGATGTGAGTCACAGTAATCCACACCTCCACGAAAAGTTAATTTGATCTTGGTGTTCTTGATCAATGTATAGAATGAGGGAAGTGATGGCTCTGTTTTCCTCTCATTTGGCTGCAACTCAGCCGGGACGTTTTGTTCAGCCTGAAGCACCAGACTTTGAGAGAAATATTGACAAACTGGAAGATATTCAGAGCAGAGAGGATCAGAATCGTAAAGGGAATTAAAACCACGACAGAAGAGCCTCCTCAAAGGAATTGAGACAGAATCCATAGAAGAGAAGACTACAGAGGAATTTGAGGGCTCCTCTTCAGTAAACCAAGAGCTTTCACATGCAGGAGGCATTGGATTTGTCCCTTGTAGACTTACAGTTTCAGACTGGAATGGAAAAGAAGGAAATTTCCAGGAGAATTATTTGAGATTAATGTAGAGAAGATTTTTCTACTAGCCAAGTTGCCTAAAGATGCTTTGGACTAACTCTGGAGAGAAGGACCTTGGGATGTAATAATTGCTATATCTGTAGGAGTGTCGGGATGCTAAAGATGTCGGGATTTAACGTCAGAAAATGACAATATCAGCAGCCCTTAGAGTCCCCTTTCCACTCCAAATGTGTCTATAAAGTCAAAATCTGGTTGTCTGGCCACAGAGCATCACTGTGACATTCATCCTTAATCATATGTCTCCAATGTTCCAAGTCCCTGAAACAGTGTTTTTCCTCAGATCTTTAATAAAAATTAAACTTTTTCCTAGCCATGTTATACACAAATAACTTGAGTAGTCAACATGCTTATCTCTACAACCCTTTCATATATAAACACCCTAAAATATCGCTTGCCTCTAGTCTATTTTGTGGTAAATTAGTTTATTTTAAATGTGGCTAGCTAGATACAAGGCCAAACATTTTATTTTTTTAGCAAGAATATACTGCAGTAATTCCAGTGGTCATTCCAGGAAAAATGCTGTCGGTGACAATATATTAGCCCAATCACAGACTGGTGGTGATTTTAGAAATCTAATCCACTTGAATTTTAAACCTCAGAACGCAAGAACTCATGCTGATAGAAAAGCCTATGTGAGCCCAGACACAGTAATGGTCACCTTTGTTGTCATTCCTTTTGCCACCTGACACTGCTGCGGGGTGGCATCTTCTGCATCACCAGGCAGCATGCCCCAGGCCGCTCAGAAATGGGTATCTTTTCTGACAATCATACCAACTCGCACTCCTGTCTAATGAGCCCAGATATTCCTACAGAGACTACTGTCCTCCAGACTGTGGTATAGTGTCCACCTTCTTCTCCCGGAGTTCCCCACTGGGGCATGGCGCAGGAGCAGAGCCCGGGGCTCCACCATTCCTGACCCACCTTCAGTGTCCCCAGTCATGCTCCTTCTGACTCCTCAATCTCAGTCACTTCTGCCTTGGCTTCACCTACTCATCATCCTCCGATGGCCTGAAACCTAACTGCTTATGTGTAGGAGGTGGTGATGGTTGGGCTGTTGGTCAGGAAGTAAAGACTTTCTCCTGCCTTTGGAAACACAATGCTGTCCTCTATTTGCTGGTGTTGTGCTAACATCCCTCCCTCCTTCCCTCCCCTCCTTCCTCCCTCCTTCCCTCCCCTTCTTCCTCCCTCCTTCCCTCCCCTTCTTCCTCCCTCCTTCCCTCCCCTTCTTCCTCCCTCCTTCCCTCCCTTCCTTCCTCCCTCCTTCCCTCCCTTCCTTCCTCCCTCCTTCTCTC